GAATACACATGGAAAATAGATTCATATTACGAAAAAAGTGTAGAGGAAAGCATGCTAGAGTTCTTCAAGCACGTCAAATACAATGAAGATAAATTACTTCCTTACAACTTTGAGTAAGTCACACTGTCTTGTACTACAAATTATGTTTTTCCCTACTAGCTAGCTACATGTTTTTGCTTACATATGTCCGCTTAATTAAGACATGCAAACGTGTGTGCATGCAGATTTTACTGGATCTTATTAATCATTAAAGTTGATGAAGGAACAATTGAAGTACTAGACTCACTACTTAAGAAAGCAAGTGACTACACCATCGTGAAGGGGATAGTCAACAGGTAATTTCAATCATTATTAACTATATCTCGGCCTATTTAATTAGTTCGTCATTTCCTGATAACAATTTAATAACCCATTTATTCATTTTCTTTGTCGGCGGGCAGGGCTTCGGCAAAGTTTATCAGGGTCACTCCAGGCCCATGGAAACAAAATCTGAAATGGTATCGACCCCAGGTAAGTAATTAAGTAGTACTAGCTAGCTGCCATCTCTTTAATTATCATGCTTGATTAATTATTATCTGATCAAATTTCATTCTCGTAAAGGCCCTGAAGCAGGCGCCGGGAAATAATCTGTGTGCATACTACGTTAGCGAGAACATTCGCATGATGGTGTCCGAAAGAAGCAAATCTCAAAGACAGGAGTGGGTATATTTGTCAGAACACTATTCACAATTTTTACACCATTATCGATATGTAGTCACACAACTAATACACATGCATATTGATCTCCTTAACAGTTCAAAGAGGTGCGGGAGAAGCTCCTAACAGAGGACCGCAAAGAAGCAATTCAAGAGGAAATAGCGGAATTTTTGCTCGACCAGATCATAGATCCCAAAGGAGAATACTATTACCCGCTACCGCCCCCATGAACCACTTCCAATTGTTATCGTACTCCGAAGGCACCAATTAGGCTAATGCCACTAGCTCCGAAGGCACCAATTAGGAGAAATTGTATATATATATATTATGATCAGTTCTACTAGAAATTCTATTTATATATATGCATAATGTGTACAATATGTAGTATCGTAAAATACCAGCAAACGAAAAAGAATTAAATGGAAAACACAAAATTAAATGAAAAAGAAATCATAAACCCAACCCCCCCCCTAACCTTTTAATAGCGGTTGGTGACACCAACCGGTACTAAAGGGCTCCCTGCCCCCGAAGCTGGCTCGTGCCACGTGGTTGCCCTTTAGCACCGGTTCATGCTGAACCGGTACTAAGGGGGGGGGGGGGCTTTAGTGCCTACACTTTATCGCCGCTTACCAAACCGGCACTAAAGGGCCTTACGAACCGGTGCTATTGCTCGGTTCTGCACTAGTGTACACACTAAAATATGTCTATATACATCCGTATATGCTACTCAACTTGAAATCTCTAAAAAACAAATATTTAGGAACCAAGAGAGTACTTGGTATTGACACTAGCTCCAACCTAAAAACCCATGAAAGTGTCCTTCAGGGCGTATCATGGTTTTGCATAAAAGATATTCTTAAGAGTTCATCCTACCTTAATTTTTTTTTCGTCCTCCGCCTCTGCCTGATCCAAAGAGTGAGAATACTTTGCTAACCTATCGACATATGTGCGCAAATCTACCTTCAAAAGTAAATTTACAATTGAAAGCTAGTAATGATCTAGTTTTTTTTGGGTAAGTAATGATCGAGGTAGTGGACCCAGTTAGGTTATGTATTTTGTGGGTCGGGCCTCGTCCCCCGCTTGGGCCGAGCGAGTCGTCCTTGGTCTTCTTCTAGTGTGCTTGGTGGGTATTATTCCCGTGACACATAGCCAGTGATTTGTCGACGCGTAGTGCATCCTTGTCCTTTTTTGTAAACCGGGCTAACCATTTTTCAGTACGCACGGTACATTTTTTGCATACCTCAGAAACATTTTTTATGTATACATTCAACATTTTTCAAATGCACGATTAACCTTTTTCAAATTTGTATGTAAAGTGATTTTTTTACTACATATATATTTAGAATATTTCGAAATATAAGCAAAAGTACAAACAATAAAGCAAAAATATGAAATAAAACGGATGGAAAACAAGTGCATAAGGCTTGTGGTCCGCACTGGGCTGGCCCATTCTGGACATAAATAATATATATACAAAAAATAAAGATTTTGATGAAATTCCTTTTTTTTGTGGTACTTTAGTTGATTTTACTGTTTGTCCTGTAGTTTAATTCAGTTTTAATTTTGATGTATTGTGTAATGTGAATACAATAAAATTAATTGTGTAAAATGAAATTTCAATAAAATGAAAAAGGAGTCTTCATGTCCTGTTATTGAGGACCTCGTTTAAAAACATATGCCGTCTAGGAGCTTTACCAGGACTCATTAGAAAAACACTTAAATCCAGAAGTAACCATTTAAAAAAATCAATTCCGGGAAAAAGGAGCAATATCGTATTTGTCGTGCTACTGCTTCGTGTTAAGCGAGCAAGACATAGTCGCACCCCTTCCAATCCAAAAAAAAAAAAAGTTGCACCCCTCCTGTTGTGGCTATTATCTGCCAAAAAAAATAGAAATGTACAATAACCAAATATGCCAACTGGGCAAAGAGATCCATTATCAGAGATTATTAGGTACGGGCTACCGATTAGCAATGCCAACTGGGCTCAGTCTAGACCCTACAGAGGATTTTTCCTCCATTCCTACTGCTATCGAATTGTTATCAATTCCTACAAAAAATCTGATGCCAAAGAAACTGCAAAAAACATGTTAAATTATCAGATTCCAGACAAGAAAAATATATTGAATAATACCGAAAAGGAAAATGTGATGGCATTTTCATCTGTTCTTTCTTACAAGGCCAACTCATCATTGTACATGAACCAGAATGCAAAGGGTACATAACTATTAGCCAGTTGCAAACCAAAAACCATGCAACACATAAAACTATATCACCTCTAGGTTATGTTGCACGAGCATGCATGCGACAACCTAACCCAGTTCTCCCTGCGTGTATTTTAGGAGACCGAGCACAAAATTCAATATACATGACATATATACAGGGAACAGTCGACGCACACACGATTATTCAAGGCGACAATGTGAAAAATAGAGGACCAGGCCATAAAGGCCTGGGTGTTGCCGACGTGATTTAACTATCTTTGGTTTGCAATGTCGATGAACTCCTTTGGAGCTGGAGGAGGCCTGCAGGCAAAAAAAACAACAGAAGAATACTTCACTTTATTTGTCAGATTCCATCTTTTCATGAGCCTTGTGGCCTACAAATTCCAGCAAATATACCTGAATAGGCTACAATATATCTTCCAGTTCCGCGGTGATCTTGGAGAAAACAGGCACATATGTAGGTTTTCGCTCCAACACCGTTGAATCAATTTAGACAATCTCGGATGCACGCTCAAGGGGATGACCAAGCGAAGTCCCTGGTTAACAAGGAACAATGCCCACTTTTCACACGTGTACGCTCACTATTGACTGCTCACTGCGCAATACCAAAACTGTAATTTAACTTTGTTGTTGCTGAATACGTACCTGTGTCTTACTGACAGTGCAACTTGCAATGGTGTTGGACTTTCGTGCAGGACCTGTATAGCAGGACCAAGCAAGGGTATTACCTTTAACCAAAGTACTCGTGATGTTTGAAAAACTCAGTAAGACTAAAAGTTGGAGAGAGCACCAAGGTTTACCTTAATAAAGTTGCTTTGTGATCGCAAGGCTTATGGTTTATCACCTGCCAGGACAAGGAATTCTAATAAGCACATTGCATAGGCCCAATACCTCTCAGTTGCATAGAACCTGTCTTCTGAGCTTTGACGGAGGTTCAAGCAGAGATAGCACACAGAAATATGCATTTCTTCATAAACTTGCTGTGAAGATGTCGATGAGTAATAAAAAAATGAAGGAAAACAATGCCGTTGGTTACCAAGTTATAGCACATAGTTTCTGCACGAGGTTCAGGGATTTAGTCGTGTGTATATGCATGTTGCGACAATAAAAGAGTAGTCGAGCTAATATAGGGCATTTGATATTTTCTAGAAAGGGGAAAGGACACTTAAAGGATAATGGGCAAACCGACAACCCACCGTGCTCCTCCCTGCATCTAGAAAGCACTGGAATAGGAGCATGCCAGCGAGACCTTTTTTTATATATTTTTTAGATCTACCTTTTTTCTCTTGGAAAGGAAATAACAAATATGCCAATTGGGCCAAGAGATCCTTACCTGAGATGAAGTATTTTGACAACAAATGAGCCTAGCCCAACCCCATACGGGTTTTTTTTCCTTTGATTTCTGCCGCCAGTGAGAGTTGTTATTGTTTCCTGCAAAAATATAGGATATTAGATATTTTCTAGAAAGGCGAAAGGATGCTAAAGAACAGTGAACAAACTGACACAACACACCATGCTCCTCTGTGCTCCTCCCTGCCATCTAGAAAGCACTGGAATAGGAGCATAACAGCAAGATCTTTTTTCCTCTTTTTTCTTTTTTGAGATCGACCTTTTTTTATCTTGGAATGGAAATAGTAAATATGTCAATTGGGCCAAGAGATCCATTACCCGAGAGCCAAGATGGGTGATAATTACTGGGCCAAGCGCAACCACATTCAGGATCATTTTCCCCCTCGATTCCTGTGGCCACCGAATTGTTATTGTTTCCTGCAAAAATATGATGCCAAACGAAGCTGCAAAAACGTGTTAATTTATCGTGTTCCAGACAAGAACGTATGTTAAATAATAACCAAAATGGAACATGTGATAATGGCATTTTCATCTCATGTTCCTTACAAGACGAACTCATAATCGTACATGACCCAAAATTCAAACACACCGAACTATAAGCCACTCGCAAAACAAATAACCACATAAAACATAAAACTATATCACTCAGGTTATGTAGCACGGGTGTGCTAACTTAACCCAGTTCGTCCTGTGAGCATTTTAGGGGGAATCAAAACAACCGAGCACAAAAATTTATGTACATGACATATATACAGGAGACGATGTGCGCATGTCGCACTTTTTAGTGCGTGGCAATGTCAAAAGAGGGTCCAGCTTCATGAGCAGGCACCTTCTTTCTATCGCTGTGTTTTCATCTGTATCTTTTGTTTGGTATGTCGATGGCCTCCTTTGGAGCTGGAGGCGGCCTGCAGAAACATGCTGCTTTTCATCAGTCGGAGGAACCCGTCAAATATTAACCAGAATAACTTCACTTCATTTAGTTTTAAAATTCCATCTTCTTATGAGCCTTAAGGCTAACATATCCAGCAGCAACCTAACCTGAATAGGCTGCAAGATATCTTCAAGTTCCGCGGTGATCTCAGAGAAAACAGGTCGTGTATTGGGGTTTTCGCCCCAGCACCGTTGAATCAATTTAGATATTCTTGGATGCACGCCCGAGGGAATCACCAAGCGAAGTCCCTGACAAACAAGGAGCAATGCTCACTTCTCATACTTGCACGTCCAGTCACCCGCTATTGACAGCTGATGCACAATACCGAAACTGTAATTTAACTTCGTTGGCATCAAATGTCGTACCTGCCTTACTGACAGTGCCGCTTGCAATGGTGTCAGGTTCTCATACGGGACCTGTATAGCAGGACCAAGCAAGGTTAACAAAGTACCGATGTTCGATGAACTCAATAAGACTTAAAGCTTCAGAGAACACCAAGTTTTACCTTTGAAGTGACCAACTCCCATAGAACAATAGCGAAGCTGAAGACATCTGCCTTGTGATCATAAGGCTTATGGTTTATCACCTGGCAGGACAACAACTTCTAATAAGTATACATCGGGTAGGCACATAACTCAGTTGCAAAAAAACCTATCCTCTGAGCTCTGACTAAAGTTCAAGCAGAGATATTACACAGAAATATTCATTTCCGCATAAACTTGCTGGGAAGATGTGGATGAGTAATAAATAACGAAGGTCTGGCTTTATTTACAAAGTCAGGCGCATGCCTTTTCTCTAAAAATAAATAACAAAGGAAAAACAAGGCTATTTGTTACGAAGTTATAGCACATAGTGTCTGCATTTAGTCTTGGTATACGTGTGTTGCAACAGCAAAAGAGTGGTCGAGCAAATATAGGATATTGGATATTTTCTAGAAAGGGGAAAGGATGCCAAAGGACAAATGAACAAACCGACAACACACCTCAGGTGCCATCCATCTGTAGGTGCCAGTTTCAGCAGTCATATCTCCCTCTTGCGATCGTTGACGAGAGACACCAAAATCTGCAATCTTCACGACCTGTTTCAAAAGAACAAATTATCATTTTACTAATATTTAATTGACAAGTACATGGATTTATAACAATATGCATACTTGACCCTAAAAAAACAATATGCCTACTTGACCATCACCAATTAATAAATTGGCAGACTTCAAGTCTCTATGGATGATGTTATTCTGGTGCAAATAATCCATCCCTTTTGAGATGCCGATAGCAATCCTAAGAATGAAGGAAAGCTCCAAGGTTTTATTATGCTTGTGCAGGAAGTCATACAGATTACCTCCAGCCATGTACTCTGAAAACAAACACACAATACAAGAGCAAATTATCAGTTAACAGGAAATTACAAACTGATTCATGATAAATAAATAAACTCTACACAGACTTCTTTTTAAGGGGAGACAGAGGTCTCCGATTTCCACTATGAGAAACCTGAGAAGTAGGAGTTTCTATAAACAAACAGATAAAACATAAGCAGCTGATTAGTGCAGGGATCCCCAACAGTGATCTATATGCACGCACAAGATGAAGACGTAGAAGAATGCAGAGATGAAAGTGATCTATAGGCATGATAGGCTGACTGAAGGATGGGCAGAGACCTGTCGATCTGATAGAAACAGAGCAACAAGATTCCACCAATCAGACATCTCTTGAATTCTGTCGACTTGTACTATGTTGCAGCATGATGTAGATACTCTTTACGTACGGGTGTAATAAGCAAAATATCACAACTTCCCTCTAGACATATCTGCTCTTGAAGTCCCTACCAAAATGCATAGAAGACAGGAGTTATCCCCTGTCTTTAGAGCTCAGCTTTTCTTTCTTTCGCTTTTTTCTAAATCAAGCTTATCAAATGTGTTATCAATAGCTATTTAAGCATCACCTCCAATTTTTAGTCACCAATGTTAATCATAGTGTAAATGTGCCATGGATAACAGAACTTTCATGTGAATCTGCAACAACAAGGATATTGATTGCTATTCATTCCACAACAAGCAATATTAGTATCTTACCTGTTACAATGAGATACTTTCGCTGCTTTGTGCATGCCCCATAAAAGCGAACAACATTTTCATGATTAACGCTCCTGTACATGACTATATTGTGTTAGCATCTTCTGGAATTAAATGGTTCAGTGAAGTCGATTAAGTGCCACGGAAATAAGAAACATACCTTAAAATCATTATTTCTTGCAAAAACTCCACTTTTGAATTATCGTTAACATGTTCAGCTCTAAGGTACTTTATTGCAACATCCACATCAAGGTAAGTTCCTCGATATCTGCAAAATGAAAAACACTGGTTACTGAGCTGTCCTGAAGTTTCCACAAATCATAATACAGCTGATTTCACTATGTTTGTTGGCAGTGTCCCTTGTGAACCTATTTCATCTGTAAATATGCAAGGAAAAGGCATGCAGCCCACAGTAGCAGAGTAGCAGTTAAGTGGTGGCTGTCTTTCCTCTATTTCTAAGCAAGTGTTATGTAGTTCTTACAAGTCTCCAGAAGATCCGGACGCAATCTTTTCTTCAATCTGCAACAGATCCCTGTCAAATTCAGATTCTCCAATCTTTTCTTGCAGCTCTGATATTCTCTCCGAGGCGGAACTTGTTAGATTAGATAATGAGGGCTGTGTACCACAAGGAAGTTAACGTTGTTAGCAAAAGGTTAGACACAACTTGTTCATTCTTGCAATGCTGACTGCATGCATTTACAGCACTGCATCTGCATACTTAGAAAAGTTGAATTACCAGCACCTATGTATAAGTGACCAGGCAGACACCTAAGAATGTGAAGTATTCACGTACGTAATGTAACTAAAAAAGAAGAGAAATCGTACATTACGTTTTGCTGTCTCCTTGAGCTGCTGCAGCAAACCATCTGTCTCCTGCATATAGCGCCAGGCAATATTTTACTCAAGGAAATATTTGAAAGCAACTATGTGTAATATAACCTACAGATGCTTCACTACTCACAAGAATCTACAGGGCACATTGATAACAAATTGCTAAGTGTAGCGATTGTATCTGTCGTCAAGTCTGTAAAGTCAAAATGACTTCGGTTACTTCATCTTACGAAGTCAAAATGGCTCCAAATTCATGGGTAAATGTCAAAATACAGCCCTAGGTTTTATAACTTCGTTATAAGCTAAATACCTACTGCATACTTGTATGAACTAAGATGGTGCCCATGGTATATTTCATTGACAGTAACTAGGGGAAACACATAAACTGGTTTTCCTTTTTGCCAACTGGCACTGTTATGTAAACAATTATTATGTGTCTTTCAGGATCTTCTCTTACAAGAATCGGAAGTTTCCAAGGGCAAGTTATGCAGTTCCAGAGATGTGTTCACAAACAGACTAGCAATATAAACGGAATGACTGCACATATGACTGTTATCACCAAGAATTTGTGAGGAGCTCTGTGGATCAAGATCTCCTTGGCTCTGACTCCACACAAGCGACATGATGTAAAGCTGATGCGATTAATCGTAATGCTATCATAATTAATCGGTCACACGTATAGATGTGCTCCAGTATAACCATGCTCTAAGTTCACCTCTGTTTCCCAGCCATCAACAACAAAGACATCCAAACACAATCCATCTGTTGTTGAGAACACATGAGCTTCACGAATGTTCAATCCAAGATCCGACAGCAGCGTAGATAGCTACAAAATAATAATTGGATTTTTTTATTAAAGTTGGTATAAGTAGTATGAAAGGCAGATATGGGAATCTAAATAGAAAACTCATAGCAGATGGATTGAGACTCCCAAAGCCTTTACCTGACTAAGGAGCTTTGGCTTGTCATTAGAAGAAAAAATAATTTCATGAAGAAGGGGAATTTCTGTATCCCGCCTGTGAAAAATTTCATTGGCAACTGAGGATCAAAGTTCATTGCTCATGCAGGTTTATGAAAAGGAAGCACAAAATAAGCTACTTGCCAAACTATTATGAGATATCATAGGTAAGTAGTACGCACAAAAGCATGGAGAAAAGATATGTTATGCGATTTGGAACAATTATGCCAAACTGCACGAAGATAGCTTGCCCACCACCACTCTCCTAGATAGTCTTATATATGGTTCAATATATCATTCCAGATTGAAAATGAAAACATGCTAGAACCTTTCTATCAAGTTATGAGAAGCATTGGGCCACATGGTTGCTTTTTGAATTAAAAAATTCAGCGACATCACGAGCTACCAGAAAAGTTGTCAGCATCTTTTTGGAAAATCAACCAGGTTTTACAAATCAGAATGAAAGCATGATTATATTTCAGGGAGACGGTGGGTAAACAAGCATTTCAACTGAATTTCAGAAGTTGGAGGTCGAGAAAGACCTTGCAGAAATGGCCTCGAAGTCGTCCACACCTTTTCTTCGCCCCAAGCTGAGGTCTTCCATGAGCCGCTCGTCAAATCCTTTTAATCCGCCGTTGCTGTTCATCAACATTTACAGACCTTGTCTTAGCAAGCAAGATTGTTTAAATTAAGCTCAACTAACTTTGTCTGGTGCCAAAATGAAGACAAGAGATGATCGCGTATTTTCCCTGTAACTTAAAATGATGATCAAGCAAGCCAGAGAGCATTGGAGAGTGGTCGGGTTGGGTGGGGTTAACCTATACCTCAGATTGGAAGCCAGAGAGCCCCCACAATTACCGTTTTGATTCGGAGCAGACTCGGCATCGGACGGTTTGTCGTCATGAAGGTACTGCCCATGGAGACAGAGCATGTATATAGCAGAGTAAGTGAGACAGCAAACATCTTCTTTCAGAAACACACAGCGACAGTGTGTTGAATGGATGGATGGATGGATGGATGAATTTACCCGTAGGAATCGTGCGTGGAAGACGGGGCGGTTGTCGGGGTCGGCGCACTCGGCGAGGATCCGGCGGTGCAGCAGCACGTCCTCGGCCTTGTTCACGTCGAGGTCGATGTAGTAGCTGCACCGTACCCAGCGGACCCAGGCAGACAGACAGACAGGCAGAGAGCATGGTCAGAGAAACTGAAAACGCGGCGTAGGCAGCAAGGTTTGATCTTTGATGTGGACGGCGGGCGGGGTGACAGACCTGGCCGGGAGGCGATCGTAGTGGTCCTCGAGCACGCGGTCGAAGAAGGGGTCGGAGAGCGCCTCCTGGTTGCCGACGGCCCGCAGGCGGTCGTAGATCTCCCTCCTGACGTCGGACAGCTGCACCCCGCCGCCGCCGCCGCCGTGGGCGGACGCGGCGGCGGCGGGGGCCGGCCAGCAGCTCTCGCCCGCGCCCTCCCCGTCGCTGCCGTCGGCCATCCGCCTGCCCGCGCGCGGGGCCCTACGCGGCGGCCATCGCGGCGCCCTTTATGGGAGCGGGAGGTGGCGAGAGCGAGGGACGGACGGGGTGGATGGTGACGAACTGACGAGGACGTACGGCAGTGGGTTGGGCTTGGCTGGGGTGTGGTGGCGGGCGGGGGGAATCCGAGGGGCGGCTCTCTTGGCGGTTGCGGTTGCGGCCGGCCAGAATCTTCTAGAGGGCGGCGCCGGCCGGGTATTTATACACTGAGGCGAGGGGCAGTCCCGTACTTTGGCCTGGTGTGTCTCTCCTCCGCGACGCCCACCGGCTGGCCGGCGACGAGGAGCCGGAACGAGCCCAGGAATGGCGGAAAAGGAGGCCGGACGGATCCTCTGCGGGAGGGGAGGCGGCCGACGCGTGGCGCTGGGGCCCGCGGGTCCTTATCCGGTTCGAATACATGGGCCCACCCGCTGTTCCGGGAGTAGAGGAGGCAGACGAGACTGCTGGCCGGCAGTGAGAGAGGGGTATACACCTACTGGTAGTCGAGATTCCGTGGCAGATTCCAAGCCCTTTGACCTCATCCACGGGTAATTTTTCTTGCTAGTCGAGATTCCGTGCACGTTGCTCCGATCCGACGTGCCAAGTGCCAACCACGTCGCTCTCGCCCCCGTACCAACTCTTGTGTTCTTGCCAAGTGCCAGAGTCTCCACACACACACACACACACACGCCAATTGGCAACGGATGGGAAGCAACTATTCAAGCAAACAAAAAAACCGAAACACTAACGCCCACGCGTGTGTGGGCGTTACCCAACTCGTCCACACGCCTCGATCGTCGTCCATTGCCTTTTGCACGAATATTGGCACGAAAAGGTTGATTTTGTGCGCCACGTAGGACAAGTCGCGTGTGTGGCGTGTAAGGGAGTTCGTCCGCACGCCGGTTTCCCCTCTGAGGTCAGCGGTTGCGAGTCGGGCGTGCGGTGGAACTGTTGTCGCGCCCGCACGCCACGCCCGACTACGGTTGCCGTCTCCACATCTCGCCACTTCGCTCTCCCCTCCCCATTCTTTACTTCCCAACCCACTATCCACACCAGTTGCATTCGATTGAGGAGAAACCGAGAGGAGAAGGCGACGGCGGCGGCGGAAGAGTCGACTGCATTCGCGGCCGTTGGTGGGGCTCGCATGACCGGAGCGTCGTCGCCGGAGAGCCGTAGATTGAAGGTAAGGCTCCCTCCCGTGCTCACATTTCTGCCCGCGATTTCTGCCCCCTCCCTCTTTGTTCAATTTCCGCTCGCTTTTCCTCGTGACTCCGGCCGATTCGCGGTGCTCCAGCGTCCCCGTCGGCGGTGGAGTCGCGTGCTTGCCATTTAGGGTGGCATTGCGCAGTTTCGTCGCCGCCGCGGTGCCAGTCATGCCGGTGTGGCTCGGCCTGTCTGCAGCCACATCCGATTTTTGCCTTGCGATTGAGCGGGCGATTTTTCTAATGTTAGTTGTGATTTGCCTCGAAATGCTATGGCCATCAGTGTAGGGAGTTTTTGTTAAATTTCAGGGTATGATAGTTGCGAATGAACCCTAGATCTAGTTAGGTGCATTTCAAAGTGTAGCATAATGGCAGCCATGGCATTCTCAACAATTATCATCAATGATGGCAACTAATTTTGTGAACACACTATGCCTGTTGCCATGACCATGCTTTCCATGTGGCAACTGATTTTGGGAACACACTATGCCTGCTGCCACACCTATCATCAATGATCAACCGTGTCAGTTGCCACGACTATGCTTTCCATGTGGCAACAAATTTTGCGGACACACTATGTTGTTGCCATGCCATATGCAGGATAATGGAAAATTCAATGCACAATAGACTCAATTTGCGTTTGCCATGCTGACTTGCGATATCTGAACATATTTGACTGTATTTACATGGCAACTCATTTTTATATGAGGCTAGGGTGTGAGTTGCCACATTACATGTTGTGCAGTGGAAGTTGTCTGCCCTTTTTTGAAATGACTTGTGTTAACATGGCAACTTGAACCTAGTACATTGTTTGTCAATACATGGCAACTCATTTCTATATGAGGCCACAGTGTGAGTTGCCACATTACATGTTGTGCAGTGGAAGATGTCTGCCAGGAGCCATTGTGCTAACATGGCAACTTGAACATTTTTTAAAGTGCCTTATGATCTGTACATTTTTTATGAGGCCAATGTGTTAGTTGCCACATTCCATGTTGGACAATCCTAGTGGGGGAGGGGGGTGGGTGTTCCTATGATCTGCCTCATTTGCCATTTTCATTGGAGCCAATATGGCAAGTAGATTCTGCTAGCTGGCAACTACTTCCTTCAGAATCACACACATGTCCAGTTGCCATGTTTCTGTAATTGCTTTTCCATTTTGATTATTTTTTCTGCCTTTTTGTCCATGTTCAGCACATGGCAATTACTTGCCATCTTCATATGCTTAAACTTTGGGGCAACCATTTGAGTTTTAATTTTTTGTTCATCGAAGATATGAAGTGAATATTTACTTTATGCATTTCTTTCTGTATCCGTCGGCTGTGCTTTCATTTCATCCTAACATGTGTTTTGTTCTTACCTTAGCACAATGGCTCGCGGCGACCATCAAGACGATGATGATGACTTCATGGAGCTACCGCAACAGAATCGCGCGACTGGTCGGACAAAAGATGGCGATGAGGTCATTTTCCACCCCATATGTTTTAATGTCACATTGAGTTTTCAATCTTCCATTACAAACTCAATTTTCACGACATTGAACATGGCAACAAATCATCCCTTTTCTGTTATGCAGAAGAAAAAACGTCATCGTAATAGGGCTTCGCAAGAACGCCTGACTATATTGACCGAGGGATTTACTGATGAGTAGAAGGGAGCTGCTGGTGAGATGGGGATGCAGGCTCTGATGGATGTTCGGTGCAAGAACCTAGTGAACCCTGTATGTGACTGGCTCGGTGAGATTTATGATCCCGCCTTCAGGGAATTCGTGATTCCGGGATGTGGAAGACTGCCTTTGGATGAGGAATCCGTGTTCTGCACTTTGAGTGTGTCCCGTGGAGAAATCAAAGTCCCGTATGAGGTGAATAATAAGATTTAGGAAGCCTTGTTCGCCCGTTTGTTTCCTGGGATGGCATCCATGCCGAATACGACTGTGCTGGCAACTTCGCTGGAGGGCATGAAAACCCATGGCGAGGTTTTTAAGATGAAGCTCCTCATGTACCTGATCTCAGCTGTCTTTGTGCCTACGACATCTCTTCGCCCAAGCAACAAGTGTCCCCATCCTGGTGAATGCTCTCTCTACTTCTTTTTCCCTTCAATCTTTTGATTTTGATGTCATCTGGAAGCTAGTCGCTGCCAGTTTTTTATGTTTTTCATTTGAATGCTGATGCGGCAACTTTTTGTCCTGAAATTGTGTTGTGCAGGCGAAGCTGAAAGACGTGAAGAACATGAATTGGTGTAAATTCATCGCGGACTTCCTGCATGATGCATTCTCAAACAAGATGTACCAGAAGGGTTGTCGCTTGCACTTGATGGTACTTTTTTCCTACTCTTTTGCAAATACTCTTACCACGGTTAAATGTTTCCCCAAATCAACATGGCAGTTGTTAATAAGTGCGAACCATACAAGATCGTGCATGGCAACCCTTTGTTTCATTGTTTTTGTGAATCTTTTACATGTGGAAGTGACTTCTGTTTGATCCATGGCATCTGTAATTGCTGCCTACAAGGCAATATCATTTTTTCAACAACACAAAAAAAGTGTTCATTTCATACATCCACTCTCTTTTATACAATCTGCATGGCAACCATGATGTTGAGATGGTGGCAGCTACCAGCATAACAAGATGGCAACTGCCAACACAGCATGATGGCAACTAACATAAATAGATGGAAAATCTTTTTTCTCCATTCCCTTCAACTTGATGACTCAAGGAAACTACATTAGCTTCTTTTTTCAACATAGCATGATGGCAACTGACATACTTTCTTTTTTATTGTGTATGCCAGCTCATGTAAGTCGATCGTCTTGACCTGTCCATCGTCGACTTTACTGGGATAGGAGGCCCGCCGCCTCCACATAAGTTTGTTGTCTTTGCGTGCACGTACGATGCTCTCAAGGATGTGCTTGCTGCAGACAGGATAACTGATACGAAATATGGGAAACTGCAGGTTAGTTTTGCCTCCTTTCTTGCACGACATTCTTCAATTTCGATGTTGCATAACATATGAAAAAATCTCCATACGACAACTATCTGTGGCTAAGAAGAGATAAATACCTTGGCAGCTATGGCTGTCTGCACATGGCACCCACACGGCAACTCCGCCATCTGTGTCGAAACTTCTTCTTTTTCCCTCTTTTTTGCAATACTTGAATTATTAGTCACTGCTCCTTATTTCTCTCTTCCATCTTAGTTGTTTTTGTTCTTTTCCAGCTGATGGCCAAGCATGCTATAGACTACAGTGTGTTTGGTGGACCTCAAAACTTTGGCAAGTGGATGGATGTGCATTCAACTCCATCTTGTCCTGCTGAGGTAATCAAGGATGTTTGTTTTGTTTTTTGAAATTGTTTTTCTCTTTCATTTTTTGATATATCTCTATGGTTGTTTTGGTTTATTTGTTCCTACGCACGTGACTCTAATATGTTTGGTTACTGCTACCTTTTGTTTTGTGCTCAGGCGAGGGCACCTGTTGAGCATCTAGTTGGGCAGTTTGCTTCTGGCATGACTAGCTTGCTCTGAAAGTTGGTTGAGGGGTGGACGACACTTAATGGATCTGACAGTGACGCGGTTGTGAGGCAGTTCACACCATTTGTTGTAGAACGGACACATCGGCCAACTGGTTGTAGTGGCCGGTACGACTACAACAGCTCCCAGGAGCTCCTCGACACGCAAGATGAACTGGATGGAGATGCTGGTCTCGACAAGGACGACGACGGTGACATGGAGAATGTGCAACATGAAACCGACGACGATGAACATGTTGAAGTTTGTGTAGGT